GGTCTTAAGCTTGCGAGCAGCCATCTAAGGTACATCTATTGGTCCCATCTCATCCGGAGCAAAGGAGAATGAAGAAAACCAAAGACACAAGGAAAATATTAGTTCAAAGGACTAATGGACCTCATAAGCCACAGCCTCCACCAGCCTGAGCCCAGAAGAACTAGATGATGCCCTGGCTACCACCATCAACCGCTCTGATAGGGATCACAATAGAGGGTCCCAGATAGAGCGGGAGAAAAGATGTAGAACAAAATTCAAATTCACAATAGAAGACCAGACTTACTGGTCTGACAGAGACTGGAGGAACCCACGAGACTATGGCTCCCAGATACCCTGCTAAATCAGAACTGAAGCACTCCCGAAATTCATCTTTCAGGCAAACATTAGACAAGCCTTTAAAACAAACAATAACACAGGTGAGAAACCTGCTTCTGAATTCAATCAAGTATATGACACCAAATGGGCAACACCTGCCCAAAAGCAAAGATGAGAAAGCAGGAAGGGACAGGAAAACTGGACAAACGGACACGGGGAACCTAGGATGTAAAGGGGGAGAGTGCTGACATATTGTGCGGATTGCAACCAATGTCACAAAATAATCTGTGTATAAATTTTTCAACGAGAAACTAATTTGCACTATAAACCTTCACCTAAAGCATAATTTTAAAAAAACTTCAATGACAAAAAACAAGTATTTATGTAAACAATGCATGTAAAAACAAAGTATATACATGTTAATTTTGGCCTTTCTTTTTGTCTTCCCATGTTTCCCTCCTTTCCAATCTTTTCTTTGGAAGCTCTTGCTTTATATAGTATATAAAATTTCTTCCTTTCTCAACCTATTAATAAAAGTTTCTTTTATCTTCTGTCTTTAACCAAAACTTGAGGTCTCTGCTTCCTCTGCGATTTTTTTGAATGGAGGCTGCACATTCTCCACATTTCATCTACAATGGAGTGGGAAGGCAGTTGGAAGTCTCTGTTGACACTTTCAAATCATTACTCATTCATTCAGGCTTCACTGATTCCCTCTCTATTCTATGCCAGTACAAAGCTAGTTGCTGGGGATGCAGTTATTCATCATTGCATTCCTGTTTTCCAGAAGGGAGTTACTGTCTATAATATTATCAAGAAGTTTTATACAATAATGAATGCATGTTAAACTTTTATCAAATACCTGTTTTGGCATATATTGTCATAAGATTTTCTACTTTAATTTATTAGTGATTATTTTCTAAGGTTAAATCATTAATTTTTTTCATTTTTTTTATTGTTGTAGTTTAAATGAAGTTTACAGTTCTAGTCTCTCATACAAAAATTTATACATACATTGTATGTGACCCAACTCTTCAGACAAAGATTAGACTGGACTATGAGACATAAAATGATACTCGTGAAGAGAGTGCTTCTTAGCTCAAGTAGATACCTGAGACTAAATGGTTAGCTCCTGTCCTGTGGCAAGATGAGAAGAGGGTCAGAAGCTGGTTGAGTGAACACGGGAAATCCGGGGTAGAAAGAAGGAACATACTCTCACAGTATAGAGAGAGCAACTAGGGTCACATAACAACGTATGTATAAATTTTTGTATGAGACACTAACTTGATTTGTAAACTTTCACTTAAAGCACAACAATAAAAATAAAAATATGTGTCAACTTGGTTAGGCCATGATTCCCAGTATTGTGCAGTTGTCCACCATTTTGGGATGGATATAATTTTCCTATGCGTTGTAAATCCTAATCTCTGCCTATGGTTAATGAGGCAAGATTAGATTATGTTGAAGAAGATTAGGGTGGGATGTAACACCCTTGCTCAGGTCACATCCGTGATACAATGTAAAGGGAGCTTCCCTGCGGTGTGGCCTATATCACCTTTTATCTTACAAGGATAAAAGGAAAGGAAAGTGAGCAGAGAGAGGGGGACCTCATACCATCAAGAAAGCAGTGCCAGGAGCAGAGCGCATCCTTTGGACGTGGTGTCCCTGCACTGAGAAGCTCCTCAACCAGGGGAAGACTGATGACAAGGACCTTCCTCCAGAGCCAACAGAGAGAGATAACCTTCCCCTAGAGCTGACGCCCTAAATTTGGACTTGTAGCCTACTAGACTGTGAGAAGATAACTTTCTCTTTGTTAAAGCCTTCCAATTGAGGTATTTCTGTTATAACAGCACTAGATAACTAAGACACTTAAAAAAAATAATCAAGTGGAAATTTCAAAAGCAAAACATGTATTATCTAAAATTAAGACTTGAGTAGATGGGATTAAAAGCAGATGGCAGGATTAGATGATAGGTCAACAGAAAATATACAAACTGAAACAAAGGATAAAAAATACATACATATGGGAAGCAATGAAGAGTAATTTAAAGCAACACATTCCAATTGTTACAAGTCTATAGAACCACATCAATTACAGTTATTTACTACCAGAAAATTGTTTCCAGTTTATGATGATTGAATATGCATCCATTCATCCAGATAGCTATTGAACTATTACGTGCAAAGTAATATGCTGGGCACTACAGACACAAGTATACTTAATGAGACATATCCCCTACCCCCAAAACACTCACAGAAGACAAAAGGGATAATCCTTGAGCCAGTTCTATGAAGAGGAGTTCACTAGAATTTAGCCACAGATTTGTAGTGGATGTAGAAGGCTCATTTGGGTATAGGAAATAGCCCAAATCATGGTGGTGAAATAGGAAAAACATAAAATGTAAGGAAAGATAAACAATTTCAATACATCTGTAGTATATGGTATAGTTGTGACAGTGAGGTGAAATGAGCAGGCGCAGGTTAGCAGGAACCAGATAATTATTTGCTATGTGAAGAGAGAGGATGTTTTTAAGAAAAGAGATAAATGCTTTAAGATCCCTATGATGTTCTAGAAGATACATGTTGTTTTACATTATGCCTTCTAAGTGCCCTGAACAAGTTTGAACTCAATAATAAGATAAAGTCTAAATATAACATGACATTCAAGGTTCTTCATAATCTGCTCCAAATATTCCTAAAAAGTCTCATCTGCCTGAATTCAAATATAGCCACACTAGTCAGTTTACCAAATATACCATAACTTTCACACTTCCATGCCTTGCACAAGCCATTTTTCTGCCTACACTGTGTCTCCTCCAATTCATTGTCTAGCAAACTTTTAATCATCTATGGTCCAATTCAACAAACAGTTCTTCCTTAATGCCTTTCCAAATGTCTCGCTTGAGGAAAAAGTAATGACCTCGTCCATATGCTCCCATAGCATTGATTAATAAAACAATTATTGACTGCCTAACGTGCTCAGCACTGTTCTAGGCACTTGGAATGCATCAGTGAACAAAAAATACACAGATCTGTCTTCATGGAGCACTTTGTTGAAATTTTAGAAAAGGTGGAGGTATGAAGAAGAGACAAGAGGAACGTATGTACATTGAAAAAGCTCCCCAAGTGACTTTATTATGCTTTCCACCAATTGGTCCAACCCAGGCTGAGAATTAAAACACTAGAAAGTATTATACCAAACTAGTAATGAAAGCAAAAATTTAGAATGTAATGAGGAATCTATAGGATACATTGGTATATTTTCTTATATAAAATCTTACTTGTCTTTTCCTCTAACTGATTAACTTTATCTCTGGATTCCTGTAGCAGAAATGTTAAATCCTTCATTTTATTTTCTTTCTCATTGCTTTGGATCAATAGTAGTGACACCTAAAATGAAATATTTAAATAATATATTATAGATATCAAAAATTAAATATGGCAACTTCACTAATACAAATATTTAAGTCTCAAATTTTTAGTTACACTGATGCAGACACCAGTTCACATAAATGGTAATTACACTTCTATTTTTTAAAGTAATCATCCCTTAAAGATAACAAACAAAATAAGTTAAAATATTATTAATTTATATTTGTCAAAGAAACATATGAGTTAAATAAATAATCTCCTATGGAAAACACTCACACTTAAGAGAAAAAATTTAAATTATGTAAAAAATTAACAAGTAAATTTCTAAAATGTCATTAGCTATACAGTTCAGGTTACTTCGTTTTTTTCATTTAATTCAGTAAGGTGCTAAGATGTAGAAAAGTCTTCTTGATGTCTCTTTAGCAGAAATACATATTTTGTTTTATTATTGTGCTTTACAGTTTATAGAGCGAATTAGTTTCTGATTCAGAAATTCACACATAAATTGTTTCCTGACATTGGTTGCAATGCCTGCAATGTGTCACCACTCTCCCCCTTTCCCTTTTCACCCCAGGTTCTCCATTCTTGATTTTTGGTAGGTATTGCCCACTTTATCTCTATGCTTGACTGATTCAAGAAGCATGCTCCTCAAGTGTTAGTGTTTGTTTTATAGGTCTGAAGACGGATTGGTACTTGGAAAATATGGTCTTGATGATAGAACCGATGCTGGATATTGCATGAAAGAATTCTGCAAGACCAATGACTTCTTCATTGCAAATATCTTTTTTCAACAACATAAATGGCAACTATACATGTGGACCCCACCTGGAAAACACAGGAATCAAATCAACTCCATCTGTGGAAAGAGATGATGGAATAGGTCAATATCATCAGTCAGAACAAGGCCAGGGGCCAACTGCAGAACAAACGATCAATTGCTCATACGCAAGTTCGAGCTGAAGCTGAAGAAAATTAAAGCAAGTCCACAAGAGCCAAAATACAACCTTGAGTATGTCCCACTTGAATTTAGAGACCATCTTACGAATAGATTTGATGCATTGAACACTCATGACTGAAGACCAGACGAGTTGTGTGAAGATATTAAGGACATCATACACGAAGAAAGCAAAGCAAAACAAAACAAAACAAACCCATTGCCATCAAGTCGATTCCAACTCATAGTGATCTTATAGGACAGAGTAGAACTGCCCCACTGGGTTTCCAAGCTGTGGCTGATGGATTTGAACTGCCAACCTTTAGGTTAGCAGTCAAATGGTTAAACCATTGCACCACCAGGGCTCCATGAAGAAAACAAAAGATCATTATAAAGACAGAAAAGAAAGAAAAGATCTCTGAAACATGCTTTTGAACATAGAGTAGTTTAAGTGAATGGAATAAATGATGAAGTAAAAGAGCCGAACAGAAGATTTCATAGGGCAGCTTGAAAAGGCAAAGTAAAAATTATAATGAAATGTGCAAAAACCTGGAGTTAGAAAACCAAAAGGGAAGAACACGCTTGGCATTTCTCAAGCTGAAAGAACTGAAGAAAAAATTCAAGCCTTGAATTACAATTTTGAAGCATTCTATGGGCAAACTATTGAATGATGCAGGAGGCATCAAAAGCAGATGGAAGGAATACACAGTCGCTGTACCAGAAAGAATTGGTTGACATTCAACCATTTCAAAAAGCAGCATATTATCAAGAACCAATGGTATTGAAGAAAGAAGTCCAAGGAGCACTGAAGGCACTGGCAAAAAACAAGGCTCCAGGAACTGACAGAATACCAATTGAGATATTTCAACAAAAAGATGCAGTGCTGGAAGGGCTCAATTGTCTATGCCAAGAAATTTGGAAGACAGCTACTTAGCCAACCAAGTGGAAGAGATCCATATTTGTGCCCATTCCAAAGAAAGATGATCCAATAGAATGTGGAAATTATTGAACAATATCATTAATACCACAAGCAAGTAAAATTTTGCTGAAGATCATTCAAAAGTTGTTACATGTGTACATTGACATGGAACTGCCAGAAATTCAAGCCAGATTCAGAAGAGGGCATGGAATGAGGGATATCATTGTTGATGTCAAATGGACCTTGGCTAAAAGCAGAGAATACCAGAAAGATGTTTACCTGTGTTTTATTGACTATGCAAAAGCATTCCACTATGTGGATCATAAGAATTATGGATAACATGCAAAGAATATGAATTCCAGAACACTTAGTTGTGCTCATGCAGAACCTGTACATAGACCAAGAGGCAGTTGTTGGAACAGAGCAAGGGGATACCGCATGGTTTAAAATCAAGAAAGGTGTGCATCAGGGTTGTATCCTTTCTCCATACTTATTCAATCTGTATGCTGAGCAAATAATCCAAGAAGCCAGACTATATGAAGAAGAATGTGGCATCAGGATTGGCAGAAGACTCATTAACATCTGCAATATGCAGATGACACAACCTTGCTTGCTGAAAGTGAAGAGGACTTGAAGCACTTACCGATGAAGATCAAAGACTACAGCCTTCAGTATGGATTACACCTCAACATAAAGAAAACAAAAATCCTCACAACTGGACCTATAAGCAACACCATGATAAACAGAGAAAATACTGAAGTTGTCAAGGATTTCATTTTACTTGGATCCACAATCAACACCCATGGAAGTAGCAGCCAGGAAAATCAAACAACGTATTGCATTTGGTAAATCTGCAGGAAAAGACCTCTTTAAAGTGTTAAAAAATGAAGATGTCACTTTGAGGACTAAGGTATACCTGACCCAAGCCATGATATTTTCAATCACCTCATATGCATGCGAAACCTGGACAATGAATTAGGAAGACTGAAGAAGAACTGATACCTTTGAATTATGGTGTTGGCAAAGAATATTGAATATACCATGGACTGCCAGAACGAACAAGTCTGTCTTGGAAGAAATACAGCCAGAGTACTCCTTGGAAGAGAGAACAGCAAGGCTTCATCTCATGTACTTTGGACATGTTATCAGGAGGGATCACTCCCTGGAGAAGGACATTATTCTTGGTAAAGTAGAGGGTCAGCAAAAAAGTGGAAGACCCTTGACAAGATAGATGGACACAGTGGCTTCAACAATGGGCTTAAACGTAACAACCATTCTGAGGACGGCGCTGGACCAGGCAGTGTTTTGTTCTGTTGTATATAGGGTCACTAAAGAGTCAGAACCGACTCAACAGCACCTATCAACAACATAGGCCTGTGTAATGATTGGCTGAAAGGTGGACTGCAGGAGTGTCTCCTGTTCTGAGTTAGAAGGATGTCCTGGGACCATAGTATCCTGGGTTCTTCCAGTCTCTGTCAGACCAGTAAATCTGGTCTTTTTTGTGAATTTGAATTTTGTTCTACATTTTTCTCCCACTCTATCCGGGATCTTCTATTGTGATCCCTGTTGGAGCCACTGGTGGTGTTAGCCGAGCACCATATAGTTCTGGGCTCAGGCTAGTGGAGGTTGTGAATTATGTGGTCCATTATTCCTTTGGACTAATATTTTCCCTGTGTCTTTGGTTTTCTTGATTCTCCTTTGCTCTGGACAGGATGGAACCAATAGATGTACCTTAGATGGCCACTTGCAATCTTTTAAGATCCCAGGTGCTACTCACCAAAGTAGGATGTAGAACATTTTTTTATGAACTATGTCAGTTGACCCAGATATCCCTGGAGACCATGGTCCCCAGCCCTCAGCCCCAGTAACTCAGTCCCTCAAGGTGTTTGGATGTGGCTAGGAAGCTTCTATGACGGTGTCCCCTTTTTGATTATATATATGAATATACATGCTGTACATACAAATATGCATGTAAAAATATCCACATCCTAACCTATATATGTATGTGGGTATACTTCTATATGCCCTCCTAACTCTATTCAGCATTAAGTATCTGCCTATGTATCTGCTTTTATTTGCTTTTACTGTTGTTGTAGGTTTACGTATGCTATAGTATTTACTGTGCTGTTCCCCCCCCCCCACCCCTTGTGTTCCTCTAAGCGTCTTCCTTTGCCTTGGTCAAGTTGTGCTGACTTGCCCTATGTTGTGAATTGTCTTTCCCTTCACCAGAGTTAATACTTGTCTACCACCTAGTTAGTGACTTCCCCTCCCCACTCCTCCCTTCCCTCATAACCATCAAAGATTGCTTCTTTCTGTGTGTAAACTTTTTCTTGAGTTTTTGTAATAGTGGTCTCAAACAATATTTGTCCTTTTGTGATTGACTTATTTCACTTAGCATAATGCCAAGTGTGTTTCACGGATTCATCATTGTTCTCTGAGTAGTATTCCGTTGTGTATGTATCATAATTTGTTTATCCATTCATCTGTTGATGGGACTTAGCTTATTGTCATCTTTTTGCTATTGCGAATAATGCTGCAATGAACATGGGTGTGCATACGTCTATTCCTGTGACAGTTCTTATTTCTCAAGGATGTAGTCCTAGCAGTGGGATTGCTGGATCATATGGTATTTCTATTTCTGGCTTTTAAGGAAGCACCATATCATTTTCCATAGGTTGTACCATTTTACATTCCCACCAGCTGTGTATGAGAGTTCCAATCTCCCCACAACCTCATCAGCATTTACTGTTTTCTGAATTTTGATCAGTGCCATTCTTGCAGGGGTGAGATGGTATCTCATCATGGTTTCAATCTGCATCTAATAGCTAATGGTCACAAGCATCTTTTCATGTATTTGTTGGCCGCCTGAATGTCCTCTTTGGTGAAGTGTCTGTTCATGTCCTTTGCCCATTTTGTGACTGGGTGCTTGTCTTTTTATTGTTGAGTTGTTGAAGTTTCCTGTATATGTTAGAGATTAAACCTTTATCAGGTATGTCATTGCCAAACGTTTTTTCCCAGTCCATAGGTTCTCTTTTTACTCTCTTGCAAAAGTCTTTCAATGAACGTTAAGTATTTAATTTTTAGGAGGTCCCAGTTATCTAGCTTATCTTCTGGAGTCTGTACACTTTTAGTTATGCTTGATATTCTATTTATGACATATTAGGT